TTCACCGAGCGGGATAGCAACTTGATGAGGTAGTACTCCTCGCGTCTCTTCTGGGAATAACCGAAGAGCCCCATCATCAAGTGCCTTATTCTCTCATACTCCTTTTCCGGTGTGTTGAGCTCTCGCAGTCTGCGGAAAAGCTTGGCGAGGTACTGAGACTGTGTTTGCAGGAGAAAGAAGAGCACTTGATAGTGCTCCAACTTTTTCCTGGATGTCTTATTCAAGGCTTTGAGGTCAAATGGGTCTTTTGACGAGATGTCTGCATTGGACAAGAGGCTGCCAACATGGCCTCCAAAATGCTTCTGATGTTTGACGACTTCGTCCAGCGTAATCTTGTTCTTTACCAACAGAGCAATCTTGATGTCCAGTTGACTGATATATTGTTCCGCCAGCTCATTTTGCCGGACCTGTTGCACGACCAATTTTCTGAGTCGCTCGAATTCGATCTCCTCATCAAAATCGAATTCGCTGTCGTTTAAGAGATGCACGAATCCTTTGACTGTATTGACTGGGGGGTTCTTGCCGGTTGTGAGGCTCTTGTATGCCTGACCCTGGATTCTGCCTCGCACAATGCTCTGCGCCTTGACGACCCTCTCCATGTTGGCCCGATAATATTGGCGCTTTTCTTCGAACTTCGATCGGATGATATGTCCGCGCATGCGAGATTGTAGGTCCGTGATCAGTTCCTCTTCGGCTGCTAGATCAGCCAAATCCTGGCCGACGTCGACCCGAACGATCATCGCTCGTATATGCGCCTGCAGCTGGCTAACCTCGTCCTCACAATCTTCCAGTTCATCAAGAACAGCTCCAACTCTGATTCTCAGAATTGCGGCTCTGGAGAGAGCTTGAAGATCCACAATCATGTGTTCCTGTGCTTGGAGGGCTTCTGCGTCGGCTTCCAGGCGCCTTCTTAGGATAGCAGCTCGGGCAGCTGACTGTAGCTGTAGAATTGACCCTTCCTCTTGCACCAGCGCCGCTCTCTGTGCGCCCAGGGCGTCCCGTACACCTTTTGCTCGAAGGATACTCTGGAGCCCAATGATTGACAGAGTGTGCTGCCCTAACACTTGTCGAAGAGAGTTCAGGTGTCCCCTCACAGCTCCACCACGGACGAAAGCCTGCAGAGATATGCATTCATTCTTTGTCTTTGCAAGTGCGTCGGTGAGTTGGGAATAGCGGTCTCTGGCCGCCAGAGCTCTAGCACCGGCTTGAATTGATATCACGGACGGCATCTCTTCAGCGAGAGAACTCTTCAGCTGAATTATGGCTTTACGTGTCAGCATTCCTCGAATCGCAGCTTGCAGCTGTTGCACATTATCTCCGGTGTTCTTGATGTCGTCTCGTTGAGCGCTCAATTGCCGCCGGAAATGAGCACCTCGAATGAGCGATTGGAGTTGCGTAATTCCGTCTTCAGCGCATTGCGTCTCGTCGTGTTGCTTTGAGATCAATATCCGACAAAGAGCGCCTCGCACAGCAGCTTGCAATGCGATGACTCGAGGCTCTATGGCTCTCGTGTCTTCGTACACGGCGCAAACTTTCTTCCGTTGCAGGGCGCCTCGAATAGCTGCTTGAACCTGCTTGATGCCTGATTCTTCTTTCCGCGTCCGACTCCGGAGATACTGGGCTCGAGTTCTTGCCTTTGCGCCTCTGATGAGAGTCTGCAGCCGCAGGACATCAAGCTTCTGAGCTTGGCACCGTTCCCTATCACCTTGCTGGCGGGATCGTACAATGAATCCTCTGCAGGCCGCCTGCAAATTTACTGCAAAAGACCGCATGCTTAGCCGATATTGGATGACCTGACGGGCCCAGTCGCCACGAAGTCTGGACTGGAGGTCGATGAGGAAAGGTTCGAAATCCCACAGTTCATTCATGACATTTCCAAGCTTCAGCCGCAACATCGCGCCCTTGATCTGAGCCTGAAATCCGGTAATTGATGTTTCATTCTCGTGGAGTTCGCGCTCGATTCGCTCTTCTTCGGTTTCAGGTTCTGGCTCGGGCTCTGCACCAAAGTTCGCAGCCATGCCGGAGAAGCTGGGCATGCTTACTCCTGACTTGTCGAGTCCCTTTTGCGTTTGTTCGAGCTCATGGTGCTCGAACTCGAGTTGGCCGACAAGATTTCCCATGCGAATATCCACCAGACCTTTCTTGAAGAGCAACCATGACAAAGCGTGCACGCAGTGGATGACCTTCGGAATGTTCTTCTTTTCGTACAAATCAATGAGTTCGAACCTGAATAGCTCGGGTAACTCGACCTCGTCTAAAAATCGAAAGAACAAGGCTATATTGTCGGAGTGTCGGTACTGCAATTTCGGGTGCCTGAAGATTCGGAATGTTCGGTTAGGATACATCGCCTGCACAACTTCTGCGAGAGTGACGCCATCTCTGAGGGCTTCCTCCAGTTGGACGATTGGCGGGATTTGCTTCTGAATGACCTCTTCGATCCATTCCTTGGCTTCTCCGATGTGGCAAAGATACTCGTACGCCTGCAAAAATTGACGTTGTTTGTCCATCCAATTACCAGCCGCCCAGGCCGACGCATTCTGCTTTCGAGCAACCCTGGAGCCCTGCGCGCCCGCAACAGAACCCGCGCGCTTCAGTCGTCGTCGTCCCTGCAAGCCCACTACAGAAGGACTGTAGGTTTCGAGAGCAAACTCCTCAGTCTCACCCGATTTGGCGAACTTGGACAAAGTACGGAGGTGGCCCGTCGATGACTTCTTGAAAGTTTCTAACTCTGGTGTTGAGAGGGTCGTCGTAAGAGGTGGTGGAAGTGGGTTAGACAGGCTATGGGAGTGATGTGGTCGCATATGCGGTCGAGAATGAGGTGAAAGGGCGTGAGGAGATCCTGGCTGTACGGAGTTCTTTCTCGGAGGGGTTTGCGAATTGAATGACTGCCGTTCGCTCAGTCGGTCGCTCTCCAAACTTTGTGGGTGGCGTGAATCAGGAGTTTGAGGGCGGTTTTCCTTCCAATACTGTGGATTATCGACGGTTTGACTTCTCGTATGCCGATATACAGATGTTTTACTCGTCGAAGTGGCCGCATTAGGAGCCTGGGGAAGTGGTCGCAAGGAACGCCGGACATTCTCATATGTCGTCGCCGCACTCGTCCAGCCTCCCCCTTCAGAGGTGTCTTTCACCATTGTCCCCAATGTAGTCGAGTTTAATTCACTTTTGCCTCGTCGGTGGCCGATCCGGGAAGCAGACCCCATGGACGCATTTGACGAGACGGTACTGGTTCGACTGGGAGCTTGCGAATTTGACGAGAGAGAATAGACAGATGAACTTGTGGATGCGGTCGAGCCATGTCGGAGCGGGCTCGAGGTATGTTGCGGAAGATCGGTCTGTGTGCGTCGTGGAGAAATTGGCTGACTCGCCATCACTGATGACGTTGTGTGGGCAAGAATCCAAAGATCAAGAGAAATGGGGAATTTTGAACTTCAATTGGCCGCATGCCTGCTTCGGAAAGCAGAAGCGGTGCTGTAACTGTAAGTAGGCCGAGTATCTAATGCGCAATAGTACCTGACTGCTTTTGGTTGAGACGGGAATGTTTATTCAAGGGAGGGACCGCATTGCCCTATGGCAACCGAAAGAATTGGGCGGGTAGATCGGGGTTGATATAGAAACGCGGTGGACGTAATGTAACGCCTCTATCTTTGCAGAAGAGGAGCGTAAAAGAATCGAAACTGGGAGAGAAATCGTAAATGTGGAAAGAGCAAAAGAGGAATCAACCACGATAACAAAGCGATTCGACCACTCGGGAGATGTGAACGTAGGAGGGGGGAAGAAAAAGAATACAAAGTAGAAAATAGATGAGTATGGAGTGGGATGAGAAGGCGCTACCTACCTTAGGTACCTTTTTTTCTAACTTGGATAATGGCCTCTCCACAGAGATACCTGATCTTGATGATGTCCCAGCCCCCTCAAGCAAGCAATAATCAGCAGGGCAGGAAAACAAATCTCCCGATCGGGTATGGTTGGCGCTGTCAGGTGACCGTGCCACTCCTTCCTCGTCCATTTATGGTCAATATCGTCTTTTTTTCCAGCCACAGATCGTTTCACGTGCAGCCCACTTATGGCACATCCACGATCCATCTCGTCTGTTTATGAAGTGTCAACTTACTATCCACAAGTACTCCAGCCTGCACGTGTGATCAGTCCAATACACCAATCTGATAACATCTTTAAATCCAAGATTCAGTCTTTATTCAAGGAAGTTTGCTCACTCTGGGACTAGTAACTATGGCACTCTGGAAGATTATGGATAGTTCGGGATGGCCGATGGAGGCCAGGGATCCTCTGCGGGGCTTATCACGATCTCCAACCTGGTTCACCCGTGCAACCGGGAACATCTTATTATTATTATTATCATCAAGATGACATGCAGTCATAGATCCAATGGGCCAGAGCGTCTCTAGTCTCTCGGTTCTCTCTAACTAGTCGTTAGAGTTTTGTCGCTTCTATGGAGGACAATTGCCTGTACGCCAGAGGTACTACGGAGCAGGAGTTAACTAATGGACAGATGTTTCAATTACACAATGACGGTGGCTGGCTGAAAAGACTTTTAAGTTAGTCCAGTTCGTTATAGTAAAACAAGGGAAGACCATCATATGCTTATATCGCGCACAAAGAAACCAAAGGATACATCATCTTAAGTAGAAAATCGCTTTGTTACCATGTAGAGGCTCCGACTCCTGCGTTGATACATGTTTGACCAAGAGGTGCGACTTTCATATGGCCAAGTGTGTAGTATCTCTGTACTATGATCTGGAAACATATGGTGGAAACTGGAATGTATTCTGAAGATGCTAACTAGTACGGAAGATAGCTAGTAGTAGAATGTATATCACATGATGGTCATGTGACAGCACCCCCCATTCGCCCTGCAGGAATCTGAGAGCGATGAGCATATGCGAGGGAATTGCTTGTACATAACCAGACATCACACGGGAACGTATGATGTGACTTGTCTGACATGTCCGACGGGTATCCATGTTTATCTGGATATACTAATAAGGCAATGCAGCTTCTGCAATCTGCAGTCCCGCCGTTGCGACATCGCAAACACCCAACAGGACAACAGCCGCCTCTTTTACATGGGCTTCTGAATTCACCGCAACCGCATATGCCAGCTTGGCAATACTTCCGGTCACGCTAGATACTTCTCCTATGATAAGACGCACTCCGTTTGACCGATGCAGACTTCTGACTGAGTTCGTAAAAGTGGTATCCCGACACAATGAATGCCGGGATGGTGAGGACGGCCCCTACGACCGCTCCAGCACCGCGACCGTTGATACACTTGATGCCCGTCGTTTTGGCTATTGGCGTCACCATTTGATCCCCTGCCGCACCGCACGCCAATCCCCATAGTATGACATATGCTACCTTGAAAGTGGACAGCGTGGCAATGTCCTTGTTCTCGACAGCTTCCACGGGAACGACGGCGTCAGCAACACCAGCAAGAACTGCCGACAAGACGCCAGCGGCAATGGATGACCATACCAGCAACTTGCTCTCGCCTGCAGGCAGCGCCGCCTCCAGTGTCTGGAGGATCGCAGTCAATATGCCCGCAATGCCGGCACCTCCGTGACCTCCATGAAACATGGCTGGCAAATTCACAGACGCTGTGTGGGCGCCTGGCCCGTCAAGGGCGGGCTGGAAGAGCTTGAGAAGCTGCTCCCATGATGAGGCGGATGTAACGGCACTGGCGAATTCCTTCGTAAAAGGGGGGTTATTGTGGTTTGCAAGTTTGTACACCACGGTGTAGGCCACAGCAGCGATCCACATAAACAAGTCAAGGAACGAGATGTCTATATGCAGCGCGTTGAGAATGTCCGATATAACGGGGATGTGAATTTTCGTGTCCAGGATCTTGACTGCTGGTCTCGCAATCTTGGTCAAAGCATCCAAGACGACGTCGGCCACGGCTTTGACAGCCTGCAGAGCGGCGCCAGCCAAGATGCCAGCGAGTCTGGTCAAGAACTTGCCAACACTCATGTCCTTGAAATCGGCAGCCAATGCACAGAGCTGATCGTAAATATCCTGAATCGAATTGTCCGGCGCGTTGGCAGGTAAACCTGCGACAATGTCGTGTATAACGGCCTCCGGAATCTGTGGCAAGGGCTCATCATTTGCGAGCGAGATTTCGCCAATGTGATTTTGAAGGTGCTTGGATAACAATCGCGATGCCGATGTTTGACCTGACTCTGGATCTGTCGAACTTTCCTTTGCTGTGTGCTTGGACGGGTCTCCGAGACGATCCCAATCATGCGAAATGCCCGCCCATTTGTCGACGGCATCGATTGCGGCCATGATGTGGTCGTCAAGGAGCTTTTTGCCCTCCGGGACCAAGTCGACTTGATGGTTCAACCAAACCTTGACGGCCTTTTGGAATACGTCCTTTGTTCTTTGTATATCAGACCACTCGAAGAGGATTTGAAGGAAGTGATAGACGTCTTCAATGAAGTCAACAATCTGGTTGAAAATCCAGATGATTCCTGCGACGATGTCGTCTATCGTCTTGACAATGGCCTCGTATGTTTCGTGTAGGATCTTGACAAAGACATGATAGACATTTTTTGCCTCGTCGTAGATCCATGTCACTCCCACTTCAATCCCGTGCTTGAAAGCCTCCCACGCGCTGCGAAAAAAATCGCCGATGTCTGTCCAGACCCCATTGTCGTCACCCAGCACTGACGAGGCAGATGGATGACGCGAGGCCGGAATGACGCGAACATCTTCCCTTGCGTTGACAGTTGGGGAGTAGGCACCGTTCGGGTGCATCTTATTGAAATTTCCAATAATGTTGCTGGCCACATTGACGGTATCGTCGGAAATGCGAGAGGGGATTAAGCTCTGACGAGGGGCCGTTTCCCAAATGCCACCGGCGACTATATGGGCACGGTCAGGCACCATGGCGCCGCGGAGTGCCTCCTTGGTCTCGAACTGCCTAATCTTGGTATAATTGTCCGCGTACGGCTTGACCTCGGTGGTGCCCTCGGCGTTCCTTCCAAGGACACCGTCCAGGCCGCCGCGCTCAGATTCTCGGTTGCCTCGACCACTGTTACTGTGCCACTGGTGTCTGCTTTCACATGAGTTGCTACCTTGCTCAAGATGTGATAGTGGCCGTTTATGTACACGGCCGTGCGTGAGTTTGTTGAGATGGACATTTGGGCTGCAGGGACCGAGTGGCCCGACATGTCGGTGACGGAAAGAGTGGTGGTGTAGGACATGATAGGTATGGACGGTTTCCTGGGCGGCAGCGGAAGAATAATGCTCTGAGATTTCCATAGCCTTGAGCCGCCCGACTCTTTCGTGAGCCTGATCAGCCTTGAGCTGCCACGCTTCCGCGGTGTGTCTTGTCCTGCGTAGGCGAAGATGGTGTTGCCGCCATCCACTGCGTTGACGAAGGCGGAGAGGCGCTCAATCCCTAGCGCAACAGGGAAGGGAGCACTCCATTTCTTCGGGTCCGACACGTAGTTCATGTCACACGACATTGTGTACAGCTGGTTGGACGAGTTGAGGCCCCATAGTATCGCGATGCCGTCGTGTGCCATGCCAAGCAAGGTGTGCGTACCCAAAAGCAGGCCTTTGCCTTTGCCCTCGATGAGCACTTGCGCACACGCCCCATCATCTTGCTTGGCTGCGTCCCAACGATAAAGATTGGAATCCGCAACGGCATACAGATCGGTGGTTGCTAGCCGATTGGGATCGAGCGCGGATTCTGCATGGCGAATCGTAGCAACCGCCATGGCCGACAGTGGCTCGTTGCCATCAGGCAAAAACAGCCAGCGAGGCTCATCGGGAATGGTCGGATCCCATGTATTTTCTATCCCCTGGTAACATAGTTGTCTGCTCCCCTGGGCAGAGCCTCCCTCAACTCCCGAGGTGTACACCCCGTCCACACGCTCGCCTTTGACTCGGCCCACGCAGCTCTGGTAGCCAATCCTGGAGATGTCTCCTGGTACGTCATGGACTTTCCAGTGCTTTTCACCCGGACCGGGCGAGGAATCGTTGATGGACGGCAACGGCTCCTGGGCAATGTTCAGCTTGATGGTGATATACCACGGAGCGCCTCGTTGCTGTGATGACCGCTCCCACAGCTTGCCGCCGCTGTCATTTCTTGCCTGGACAATGGTGATTTCTGAAAAAAACACGTTCAAGACGATCTTGTCCGTCTCCTCGCACAAAATGATGCACGGCTGCGGGAGTTTGTCGCCAGTCATGCCGAGGGGAAGGCCCAGAGTACAGTCGCATGCAAAGATGAAGCCTGCGTTATAGAGTGTCAAATATTTCGAATCGTCGGTTGGCATTGTACCAGGGCATTGTGCAGCATCCAGAGGGTCAACGTCATGTGTTTTCTTTAGGGCCTCTTCCCGGCCGCAAACATGATATCTGTCGCCGCTATTACTACTGAAAAAATACCACGCCCCTGCCACATCTACCTTGGTCATTGATCTCAGCATGTGAGCTGCGATGCTCTTTTGGCTCGTCGACGCCACAAAGTCGTAGCCATACTTTTGTGCCGACAAATGTGACTCGGCAGCTTCCGTGAGCACAGAGCAAGTCATGATGAAAGGGGTCGGGTAGTGGATAGTCGAAAATAAGATTGACCGCACCTTGAAGATCTCCTTCTTGTGTAAGACAACATGTAACCTCTCCTCCATTGCTTTGACATAAAAAACACTACCTCGCCCCTGTCTGACCCCCCATCTTCTCTCACTTCTCCGTCCTTCCTCTCCATCTCCTCTGTCTTGCACTTATCACTGCCGAACCATTCTGAATTTGAAAACAGGTGCTTTTATTTTATTAACACTATTCTTCACTGTTACTCCGCAGCAGGTCTTTGACTTCCTGTACTCTTTCTTCACCTCCCAACTCAGGATACAAACAAAGCACAGTATCTAACTGTGACTTTGCAGCCCTGATGTTCTTTTCTGTCCATGGACAGTGCATCCTGACGAACTCCTCATGAATATCTTTGAAGTGGAAGGCTGATTGGAAAAACAGTCTCTTCCCAGAGTCACTCAGCAACGTCGATACAGTACGAGGCAGGTGCTGCGAAATCTCTTTCTTCCTGATTGAGTTCTCAAGGTAAAGACGGTCCACAGCGAAGCTTTCACCCTCTGCTACACCATCATTATTCCATCCAGGAATATCGGCTATGAACCAAGGATGGTGGATAATGGCTGGCAGCGGTGCCACAGACATCCAATCCCAGTCAATGACCCTATAATCGAGTACGTCTGTTAAAAAAGGCACTATACAGAGTATAAGAAAACGACGCACTGTGCTTACCCTGTCAGGTAGAATTCGTCATTTTTCATGATATTATGCGCGTTCAGATCCCCGTGGGTAAAACCGATGCCAGCGTATTTATCAAACTCGGCAGCATAATTTGGGATCATAGACCGCATGATCAGATAGTCAATAGCATTGCCCCATCTAGCAGTACCTCTGAGAGTTCGCCGAAGTCCTCGATCCAGGCTTTCAGTGAGCCAAAGAGAGTACAGACAACTTTTCTCTCGAGCAAGGGCGGGAGGAACAGGAGTAGTCCATAGTTGCAATAGAAATTCCGCAAGATCATCCAAAAGCCTTTGACGTTTAAGCAAAGGAATTTGAGAATTCCAGATTGCTAGCGGCTTGCCATTGATCCATTCCGAATATAGCACAGGGTGCTCTGCTTCAACGAAGAGGTCTGGGGCTTTGATCTCTACGCGTTCTTTTTTAATGTGTTGGAATTGTCTGACAGCTCGCAGTTCGTTTTTCCAATTACTGAGATCGTCGCTGACTCGGGCAGCCCATCGTATGGAGTCTTCAAAGACAACTTTGAAGACGCGGTGTGAGCCACCAAAACAAGGACTTTCGTCGGCAAGCGAGCATGGGATACCTAGGCGAAGGCGGCTAGCTCCAGAGAGCACATCAAGCAGGTCTGTCATATTGGAACTCCAGGAAATAAAAGTGACTCTTGTGTTTAGCGGTGCGAAATGACAGAGGATAGATGGAATGGGGACATCCTGAAGCCGACGTAACTGGTGAGTTAGCGAAAATGACTTGTCTGACTCTTCCCTACCAGCGGCGAGTATTTTAATATAAAGGTAGATTATATTAGAATAAGACTAATCCTTATCTTCTATAATAATAAAAGATAAAGAGGCATCCCTATATACCTAAGTATTCCTTAATAAGGTTATAGATATAATATATAGATGATGCTGGAATAATAGCATATATATAAAAGTCTTAAAAGATCATATCAGTGATATCACTACCTGGTAACCTGGGTAATCTGACGGTTTTCTGACCTAAGGGCCAAGGCTGCAGTCCAGACTCAATCCATTACATTAGTGCTCCTAGTTAGATAGGAGATATACTACTAATTATAGTATCTCTGACTTCTCTGTACTATAATCTAGAAATATATAGTAGAAACTAGAATATATTCTGAAGATGCTAACTAGTACAGAAGATAGCTAGTACAGGAGGTACCGAGGTAGTAGTAGAACATATGTCATGTGATGGTCATGTGACAAAGTGCGACCTGGGTCACCATTAAATAAAGCCTAGAGAATCTGCATGTTAGCTCTTCTGATTAGAATTCGTAATCCCATGTAGAATCTAAAAAGTCAATTATCACCAACACTTTAAGATCACGCAGTTGAGTCATATTACCCATTATTGACATTATCCACTGAAGAACACTGGTAAGAACCCCGCCTGTCCATCAGACCGAAATATATTGTACACTGAACATTAATCTTTCAGATACTCAACACTTACCTGCTTATGAACGATAAGGGTCAACGAGGATTCATCAAAGCAACTTAATAATGACACAGTCGTTACCATTCTACCTATACAAACTGGTTCCTTCCACCTCCCCAGTCCGGGAGCCACTTCCTGATCGCTTACCCATTAGCCAACTCGACCAGGAGTCGGGCTTCATCCATCTGTCAACCGCCTTGCAAGTTCCCAACACATTGAAATACTTCTTCAAGGACGAGCCGTTAGTCTATGTACTGCGTATAGAATTCGACCAGGTCGTGGACGACATTAGATGGGAGTCGCCAGATGCAAAGGTTTGTGGGCCGCGACCCGATGAAGGTCTTTTCCCGGTAGGTTCTATCCTTTCCGTACAAGACGTGACGTCGGTCTTTTCCTCGATTCATTCGTGACCTACTACCCAAAAGCCGAGGCCTTGAGAATATCTACTGATTGCCCCAGCATCTATATAATGGGCTGAAGCTGGGAAAACACGAGGTTGAGAGTATTGCGGTCTGGACGAATGAGGCTGGGTGGGACAAGGCGATCTCACAAGCGAAACCATGGCTTTTGTATTAAAAACAGAACGAGTTGGTCAATTACGATGCAGACTAGATTTGACATGTCCAAGACTCTACTCAGAGATCCCTCGGATTAATCACCCAAGGGATAACAATGCATGACCTGCCCGTCTGCACAATTCTCAGTTGACTCGTCCTCATTCAAAACCTGAGCCAGAAGCAAAAGGCACACTTACAGTAAAGCGAAGCGTCGGCACTGGCAAGAAACACGAAAGTAGTCGCTACTTCACTTGGCTCACCCGGTCGACCCAGGGGAGTCTTTGAGCCCCAATTGGCCATCTGTTCAGCGTCCCTGGTGTCGGCCTGGATCGGGGTGTAGATAGCACCAGGGCTGTTGAATGAGGCGATTAGCTACGCATTGTGTGAAAGAGTTCAACTCTTGGTCACTCACGCAACAGCATTCACTCGAATACCCTTGGGAAGCAGCTGAGACGCTAGAGATCTGGTGAACCCAACAATGGCACCTTTCGTGGCCGCATAGTCCACCATACTGCTTGAACCTCGGAAGGTCACGACAGATGTGGTGTTTATAATGCTATTGATATAAGAACGATGAGTTAATTGCGCACACTGCAGATCGAGGAATACTGACGAGTCGCCCTTTGACAGGAATGGCAGAGCATATTTCGTCAGAGCCATCATCTGGATGATGTTGGTCCGGAAGATATCCTCCACCTTATTCAGGTCGATATCCGCGAAGTTCTTATTCATATACTGTTTTGAGGCATTGTTGATCAGGACGTTCAGTCTCTGGAACCTGCTCTCGTATCAGTTGGTGCAATATATGACGATAAACAAAGTCCTGCGGTTACTTGTTCATATGTTCCTCCACGGCCCTTCGACACGTATTGTGATCCCTGAGGTCTCCAGCGATAAGTAGACATGACCTCTTCTCGAGTTCAACGGCTCTTTTGGTCTGTTCAGCGTCATCCTTTTCTTCAGGAAGATGGACAATGGTGATATCGGCCCCTTCGCGTGCCATCAGAATGGCAACAGCTCGGCCAATCCCGGAGCTATACGCTCGTCAATATTGTTCATTGAGGAGCGCACCTAAAGCTGACCGACATACTCTCCGCCGGTGATGAGGACCTTCTTGTCCTTCAATTTGCCAGAGCCTACATACTCAACAAAGTGACCACTTGACTCCAGTTTCGTCGCTTCGCTGGGAGGGACCATATGCTTTTCAAGTCTAATGATCATGTCCTTAATACCGGAGTAGTTAAGGGTCATACAAGGAGGGACGAAATACTGACCCCGGTTTCTTCTGACTTTGCGGTGCCTGAGGCGCTTGAAAAGCACCTTCCTTGCCCATCTGTGATGCCATTTCGAAGTGATCTGCTAGCCTGATGTAGACGAGTGAAAGTCTTGTTCGAGCCTTCGCATCGGAAGCTTGAGTAGGCACCACCCTTGCGAGCTCTTAAATACCACAATGCACCAGGTCTGCTGTCACTCTGGCGTCATCGTGTCGCAAATTGGCTATGTAATATAAATTCGAGCGCAGTTCAGTTTACCATGGATTGGAACCTTACGGATCAGTGTATGTGTTGTTATCATTTGATCAAGGTAAGTTATGTTGCTATATTATGTCTTGCGCACGATCTCCCCTTCCTGGCTGATATGTTCCTGGATGATATGTTCAGACAAATACGACCACCTGTAGATCCAGTGATCTAGGCTGATTGCCGAAGCCAAGCTGAGCTAAAGCATAGTATAGGTTCCATGTCTCAGTCCATCACAAGAGGCACCTACTCAAGCAGCTATGGTGCATTGCATGACCAGGATATCAGAGACTACTCTAACTATTAGGGTAAGTTCAGTCATGTATAGTGGAATCCCAGTGCCTAGTATATACCAGACGGAGTACAATCCTTCAACTCCTGCGCTTGGAATCTTCACATCCAGTCCGACTATCGCAAGTTTATTATCAAATGCGATTATCAAGCAATGTGTCGCCCTCAGGCTCACCGCCTTAAGAGTTTTCGTTAAACAGCCAATTATAATAACAGGCTCCGCAATTACCACCTTGATTATTCCATTTCCGGTATAGCACCTGCTGGAATTAGCTTGTGCCGCAGACAGTCAAAAGGCAATTTTTTTCCCCTCGAGGTTTTCTCTCTTTTCTTTCCTTTCCTTTCTTTGGGAAAGGAAGACTTTCTCCATCAACAGAACGTTTCTATCGTCGATCTGTTGATTATTTTGATCTGATACCCGTCTCTGCGAGTTACGATAGAGACCGTAGAGTCGTTCTCATTATATACACAATGCCCATCGCCAACGGTGACTCGCTCGGCCGCGCCATGAAGGCAGAGATTCAGGATTACACCAAGGCCCTGGAGGTCCTGGAAAAGGAATACACTACCAGAGACGGCCTTGATGTTGATACCCTTCTTGATTCGGACAAGCACGGAGCATTGACTTACAATGATTTCCTGATCCTGCCTGGTTACATCGGTAAGAGAGTGGAAACCCGTCCTTTACGTAAAAGGACCGTTTGTTCATGATCATGACAGGCTTCCCTGCTTCCGATGTCACTCTTGATACCCCTGTCACCAAGCGTGTCTCGCTGAAGGTTCCCCTTCTCTCCTCTCCCATGGACACTGTCACCGAGCACAACATGGCTATCCACATGGCTCTTCTGGGTGGTCTGGGTGTCATCCACCACAACTGTTCCCCCGAGGATCAGGCCGAGATGGTCAGAAAGGTCAAGAGATACGAGAACGGCTTCATTTTGGACCCTGTCGTTCTCTCTCCCAAGGCCACCGTTGGAGAGGCCAAGGAGCTCAAGGCAAAGTGGGGCTTCGGAGGCTTCCCAGTCACTGGTAAGTGCACAATTCTTCTTCCTCTCAGCTGTCAGCCCTACATGATGATTTTCCATCTTATCTCTTATAACTTTCGTTCCACTGGAGCAACGAGAGTTGCGATGTAGAGAAACGATTCTATCTGAAAACGACAACGCATAATGATTTGTTTTGTTCACAATCACTCTCTGCAAGCCATTGTCTAATTTGTGATATTGTAACAGAAAACGGAACTCTCCGCTCCAAGCTCGTCGGTATGGTCACATCCAGAGACATTCAATTCCACACCAACCTCAATGACCCGGTCACCGCAATCATGTCCACCGACCTTGTCACCGCACCTGCCGGCACCACTCTGGCCGAGGCCAACAACGTTCTTCGTAGCTCCAAGAAGGGAAAGCTTCCCATCGTTGACGCAAACGGAAACCTTGTCTCTTTGCTGTCTCGCAGTGATCTCATGAAGAACCTCCACTACCCATTGGCATCTAAGCTCCCCGACTCCAAACAGCTGATCTGTGCTGCTGCTATTGGTACCCGTGAAGAGGATAAGCACAGACTCAAGCTTCTCGTCGAGGCTGGTCTTGATATTGTCATCCTCGACAGCAGCCAGGGTAACAGCATCTACCAGATCGAGATGATCAAGTGGGTGAAGAAGACATTCCCCGAAATCGACGTTATCGCCGGTAATGTCGTCACTCGGGAACAAGCCGCAGCTCTGATTGCTGCTGGTGCCGATGGCCTGAGAATTGGCATGGGCAGCGGCAGTGCCTGTATTACACAGGAAGTCATGGCTGTTGGTCGCCCCCAGGCTGTTGCCGTTCGCAGCGTCGCTTCCTTTGCTGCCCGCTTCGGCGTTCCTTGCATCGCCGACGGTGGTGTCCAGAACGTTGGCCACATCGTCAAGGGTCTCGCCATGGGTGCCTCTACCGTCATGATGGGAGGTCTCCTCGCCGGTACCACCGAGTCTCCCGGTGAATACTTCGTGAGCAATGAAGGCCAGCTTGTCAAGGCCTACCGTGGCATGGGAAGTATCGCTGCCATGGAGGACAAGAAGGCCGGTGCTGGTAGCAAGGATAGCAAGGCCAGCAACGCTGGTACTGCCCGTTACTTCTCCGAGAAGGACCGTGTGCTTGTCGCTCAGGGTGTCGCTGGTTCCGTTCTCGACCGTGGTTCGGTCACCAAGTTTGTTCCTTACCTTGTTGCGGGTGTCCAGCACTCTCTGCAAGACATTGGCGTCAAGAGCCTTGACGAGCTCCACGATGGTGTCAACAAGGGCATTGTTCGTTTCGAGATGAGAAGCGCTAGTGCAATGGCCGAGGGTAACGTCCACGGTCTGCACAGCTACGACAAGAAGCTCTACTCGTAAAGGGCTTTCTTGGATGTGAAAAGCTTAATTTCTCTTTATGTCTCTTCTCTCTCAGGACTTGTCAGTCAGGCCATGTTCACATGATGATACACGCTTGGTATGAAAGTAAAAATTGGGCATGATGGTTTTGGAGTTTGAAATGGAATGCACTTTGGATGATTTTCTAGTTCAGGCACAATCTTGCTGTTCGAAGTAATTATGCTTGCCATCAGGCAGTTCATTTAAGAATACAGAAAGGAAAAAATCCTAAAATATATCCAAACTACTTATCCTTGTAGGCCTTAAGACTGTCATGACTCATGACTTGGACATGCGTCCTGCAGGAGAATCGCGCGGGGTAAAACAGGAGAAGCCTAGGTTCCATCCGCCATTGCCAAGGTTAAGGTACCGATCCCCGGAAACAACCCAGGCACCATAACCCTTCCAAGAGGTACCGATCGTTCCTTAATACTACTCATAAGAAGCAGGGCCATAACGCGCCTTCAGTGGCGGTCGTCTCTCATGGTCACCAAGGCACTCCTTCCTGGGCCCTTCAGCTCATCTTCCCGGTTCATCTGCAGACCTGGCCAATCATTTGACAGTCGGCTAAGCTTGGTCCGAGGTCCACGCACTTGTATACAAGTCCTACAGGTACTTTGCATCTGTCAACGTGCAAAATTCGACATTAGAAACTTCTCTTCTGCGGTGAAATCATTGCAGTCCGCTGGATCGCAGAAAATGGCAGCTAAAAGGGGTGTTCGGTCCAAGGCAACACCGGCGACACCCAGGCCGAGCTCAAGGTTAGTACATCATACGCCCCTTGTTTATCTTGATACCATCCGTCATGTGCATTTGAAGCCAGCGATTATGTGTTGAATCGATCAAATTGCCATAATTTGCAATTCTACAGCTAACATGCGACAGCGTCATACTCATCTCGCCCAAAAATGAGGTCCTGTTACTGCATCGCGTCAAGACATCAACTTCATTTGCCTCGGCGCATGTATTTCCTGGAGGAAATCTGTCTGCCCAGGACGGAGAATGTCCCGCGGCGGAGGATCCAAAGAGGCACGAGGATGCGCCATGGTACCGCAATGCTGCCGTGAGGGAACTGTTTGAGGAGAGCGGTATCCTGCTGGCGAGAGACAAGAACACAGGCGTAATGCTAGCTGTACCCGAGGCAGAGAGAGAAAAAGGAAGACGAGCCATCCATCAGAATGAGGTGGCATTTGCCGAGTGGTTGAAGAAGCGGAATGCTGCAGCAGTTCCGGACATAGGTGTGCTGTTCTCAAGTCGTTCCATAGGTACCGACGCGTTTAGCTGATGGAGCTACAGAGCCTTTGATCCCGTTCACGCGATGGATTACCCCTACGAACGTCCCCAAACGGTACTCGACACAGATGTACCTCTACTTCCTGCCTCTTCCAGTTGAGTCAGACCAGTCAGTACTGAAGGAGATTCCCGCCGAAGGGGAGAGGGAAGAAATTCAACTTCCTACGAGCGATGGCGGGATCGAAATAACAGAGGCCATGTTTCTGCCTGCAGCAGAATGGCTGCGGAAGGCTCAAAGCGGCGAAATCATCATGTTCCCTCCGCAGTTCCTTTTGTTACATCTAGTGTCGCAGTTCCTCGACAAGGAACCGCGAGCGACGGCTTCGCTCGAGGAACTGAGGAACAGGCGAGCAGAATTGGTGGAGTTTGCCCATTCGGGAACACCGCCCTGGACGGAGAAATGTATCTCTCCTAAGATGCTCAAAATGTCCTCGGATGGACGGACTGTGTTAGCATTAGATCATCCCGGACCTGAGTTGGAGGGCACGAATCGGGCTGGAGAGCCGGATCGGGTGGTGTATGTACAGTTCAAGCAGGGGGCTGCTCGAAAACTCGATGTTCGATGGAAGAAGGACGTATTTGCAGAGCAGGAGAAGAGCAGTCTGTAATGACGCTGGACATAGCATCATAGAGAGGAAGTGCAACATGTGAAGCTCACTTGTGAAGAGCCCGAGTCATTTAGCACTATCCCGCTTTGGGCCTTAGCACCTCGGTACTCCGTAGGTAAGGTATTATTGTTCCTGGTAAAATACCGTTGGCACATGCCACAGTATTGGCACCGCCACATGAGAAAATCGCAGCCCTCGATAAAGGGTCACATGACCCACACAACCCGCTCGATTCACAGTAGATTTTCACGACAGTCCGCCAGTTGAACCCGCCAGCGCACCTCCGTCTTCTTCACCGTCGTCGACCCAAGAACTCTACCAAACGCCAAAAATGGAGAACGAAAAGGGAGAGATCGTCGATCTGTACGTGAATGCTAATTTCCTTCGCTGTTTGCGCTTGAACTGGTTTTACGGTGCTCCGGGAGCCGAGAATGACTTTTGCGACTTGGGACAACACACAAGAGGACAAGAGGACAAGAGGACAATCTGGAGCGAGCTTTCAGCCTTCAACAGGCGCTGTTGCAGGATAGTCCCTTTTCGCAGAGTTCTTCCCGGCTTCCGGAAATCAGCAGGAGCAGGGAGATAATCGTGAACCAAAAGCATTGAATATTGCAAAACGCACATCACTAACTTCTGTTACTTTTCCTACAGCTACGTCCCCCGCAAGTGCAGCGCCACCAACCGCATCATCAAGGCCAACGACCACGCCTCCGTCCAGATCTCCATCGGCAAGGTCGACGAGAACGGTCGCTACACCGGCGAGAACCAGAGCTACGCTCTCTGCGGTTTCATCCGTGCCCGTGGCGAGAGCGATGACTCCCTGAACCGCCTCTGCCAGCGTGATGGCTACGTTCGCAACGTCTGGGCCGCCAGCCGCCAGCGGTAAACGCGAGGTGTCTTTTGTTTCTGGTGTTTGCGGTGCAGGACGGATTGGCTGGATGTAAGTGCTACATCTGTCGAATCTTGTTCGGAGAACTCGCATGCTGATTTGGATGTCGATGGCGGATAGGAAAAGACGTGCCGTTACATGGGTTACGTCTGGGAGTTGATGTCCAAAAATCATTTTCTTTTACCATGAGTCAATGAAGACCAAGAAATTCCATCCAATTCAATCCAGTCAACCTATCCATGCATAAGATTCTCATAGCTTCCCTTCCCCGGTCTTACCGTCATTGGCTCAAATGGCCTTCTGTATCACGATACCGACAATTCTGTTCAGGATCAGCGATTTCCTTGCTGTAGTTTTCTGTGTCCTTACTCGTTTTTCCATCCCATCCGGCACATCAAGGCTTCCTCGTCCATGGAATCGGATTGCTTATCGTACAGATAGGCATCTGGTTCCATCCCATGAGCGAGGAGGTAGAAAGTAACCATCCAGCCGAATATCAGGATCCGCCTACTGAAGAGCCACTGTTGCAAAGAACATGCGCTGGGGCACAGATACGGGTGGGACATGCCATGTTTCGTGCTTCTTACATATGTACTCCTACATTCTAGATTTGATAAGCGGAATGGTTTGAATTAACATTTTGTAGATTTCTATTCCTTTATGATCATGCATCATTTCGTAGCCCGTTGAAGAAGAAAAAAAAAATGCAACGTTTTCTGTCTGTTTTCGATAACTCTAAAACGGATCCAGGATATCGAAGTTGAATGCTATTTTCTTTCCCCGTAATATCTCCAACACATCGAGGCCCCCTTTGCCCACTTAGTCCTTCTCCAGTCGCACGGCAGGATTGGTCTCGATGAAGTTGAGGTCGACTTTGTGCCCAAGAAGTTCTCGAATATTGCTCACTCCGTATCTGCGATAACATGTCAGTTCAAGGACTCGAAGAGGAAAGTACGGCAGAACTCACTTAATCATGGTCGGTCTCTCAAGACTTAATCCCCATCCGTAGACTCTCATGTCCTTGGGAATGCCCATGGACTCCAGCATCTCTGGTCTGAACATACCGCTGTTTCCAATCTCGACCCACTTGCCCAGTCCTTCGTGGTAACCGAAGATCTCCATACTGGGCTCGGTGTAAGGGTTGTAGGCGGGCTTGAAGCGCAGTTGGTGGATACCCATCTTTGCGAAGAAGACCTCCATGAATCCAATCAGACCACCCAGGGTGAGACCGAAGTCAGCAATGACACCCTCGATCTGGTGGAACTCGGCCAAGTGGGTAGCATCGACGGCCTCGTTACGGAAAACTCGGTCGATACTGAAGTACCTTGCCGGCCGCGGGTTCGCGGCGAGTTTGTGCAGGACGTAGGTCGACACCGACGTGGTGTGGGTACGGAGAACCAACCGAAGGGCTTCGTCTGCGTTCCAGGGGTAACGGTATCCGATAGAGCCGTACTTTCCATTCTCGTGGACCTGGCGCACGTTCTCCCAGTACTCCTTGTAGTCGACGGGCTTCTCCGAGGTCGCTGCCGAGGCGGGTTGAACGGATTTCAGACGGTGGGGATCGTTCAAGGGATCCTCACGCGGAGGGTCAGCGGTGGCAGGGTCTGCAATGTAGAATGTATCTTGAAGATCACGGGCGGGGTGTTGCTGAGGGACGTAGAGGGCGTCGAAGTTCCAGAATCCCGTCTCTACGAAGCGGTTGGTGGGCATCTCCTCGAAACCCATCTCGAAGAAAATATTCCGGAACTCCTGTCGCACCTTGTTGAGGGGATGTAAGGCACCGGCCGGGGTAGGAGCACCCTTGGCCTTGAAGTTGTACGGCTTCAGCGTAGCCGTCTTCCATGATCCGTTTGCGAGCATCTCGGCCGTCAGATCGGTCTCCTCCTTGACAAATTCTTTGGCGAACTTGGGGCCCTTTGAAATCCGGAAGGTAAAGACCTTCTGCAGAGCGATCAATTTCCGACGCCTAAGGTCCGCGATGGCCTTCTGGTCGTTCAAGGTCTGCGTGTTCTTAACGGTCAACAGCTGCTCTTGGGTCTCGTCGACGATGGACTCGGTGTTCGCCCGCAACACATCCTTGTCCTTCTTGATCCAGCCTTTCTTGAATGCATTACCCTGGCCGACCTTGGCGTTCTCTTTTCCGACAATGCCAGGCAAGTCACCGATCTTCAATCCGTCCATGGCCGCCAATACGGCCTGGAAGACCTTGGCTTCGTGACTGCCATTAGCAGCGATTTCCTCACCCTCCTGGGTCAAAGTAATGGCTTCCCTTTCCATTGTTTCATATTCGACCATATTCCGCGAGGCTAGACGGTCGAGCGCACTCTTAATGTTTAGTGAGGGGGTAGAGGGGAAGACTTTCTCGGAGAGAATTGGACCGTCGGACGCGGACAGGGCGTCCAGGATGGGGTTCGTCAAATCGGACGCCATGGCTGCAGCCGTATAAAGAGGATAACAGAGGTTGAGAGAAAGGGCTGCGTGGCGGGGACCGTAACGAGGACTCTGGGATATCAATCATCGTGCCTCCACCCACTACTAAATTGTGACTCTTTTCGGGCCCTCTTACGGGAGACAGTTCAAACCAGAGATGCATTCACGTGACTCCATCCAGGTACCCCGCCGTCCTCACAATTACTCATCATCAGCATAAGCCTTTACCTAGTCTTGTGCATCAACATCAATCATTCTGCATCTGAGTTCTGTTATCATCCATAGATGACCATGGATCCATGATATCATCTTCGTGTATACTAATTTGGTCCTAGCTTCCCTGTGTCTCTACTGTCTAGCCCATGAGACAAGGGTCGACCCTGGGGTAATGATCCCGCTACACATTCCGCGGAATGCTTGAAAATCGACATCCCTACAAGCCGGGGCACAGACTGATCTAGCCCCAGTCTCAGCTGCTTGACACTTGACAGCCTTGTCCTCATGATCTTGTGGGATAATGCGTGGGCGCTCAGCCATGTAGCAAATTTCCAAGGCACAGTCATTCCCGGTGACTGGTATGAAGGCGATTCATTGCTCCATTTCCTTGTATGGATTGGCTTGAAATTCCGACAAGTCATACCTTTCGACTGGACAAACGTATTTTTGAAATGATTCAATGGCTTTTACGGTGCTTGGAAGTCGAACAGGGAACAATCTATTGAAAACGTCGGACTTGTGCCTTGGCAGGAATCGAGGGACCAGAAACAGGAATTGGGGCATTGCATAAGATGGATCAGTCATCGCTAAAAGAGATCAGGCGAGCAAGTGAGACAAATACAACGCAGGATTTCATGCTGCTCACTTCCGATTGGGACAATCTAAATTAATACAGAGTTCCAAGATCTGACTTCCAAGGTGCCAGTAGGATCATACGGAGGACAGCAGTATTTTAATAATACTGGTGTTGTAGCTTCCAGCCACTATTTCGTATCTGACAACTGGCAATGACAAATATTGCATTACATCTGAAGTATTTGAGACTTGTATAGACACCTTAGGCAGTCCATGTGTGCAAGACAGCCCGCAAATTACCTACAATTTTGGTATTCGACGCACTGGTAAGTGAGTGTAGGACCAGGCAGTTACGATTCTTCATTCGATTTCTCATTCAGGCAAAAGTACCTAGGTACTTAAGGTACCTTAAGGTTGCCTTGGTATTTTTGCCTGGTGTAGGCCCAGTCAGGAATAGTGCCTTTGCACCTAGCGATGCTCCTTTTGTTGTGTACGACTACCTTTAACCTTCTCTTCATTCTCTTGATTCGAAGTCTTCCTTAATCGCACTCTATACATCTGTTTCACCAGTTTCTTCGTAGATTTCGCACAGTCATAAATGGAATCTTTCCCATATAGTCCATGTTTCAGGCAACATCTTTTGCCTCCTGGCTCATTTCATGGCGAATCATTGGAGCCTACTCTGGTGTTAACTTAGCCTCATCACAGCCACAGATATGACGTGAAGATGTTGCACACTCAACGGGCCCCCTACAACATGCTTTCAGTGGCTGAAAACCCCCTTAAATTCCCTCCTTCCCCTCAGCGGGTTCCCTGGAAATAAACTGGACTAAGATATCACAATCATGGGCTGCGGACTATCAAAACCATCTCGCTATGGCGGCGGAGTCGCAGCGCACCGGTATGATAACGGTCCCTACCAGGGAAGGAGCGGCGGCTTGCGCTTTGGAGGTGGCAGGACCCCACACAGTTCTGGCCGCCGGCCCAGAATGGGTGCTGGAAGCGCATCAGCTTCTGGGGGAGCGTAAGTTGATATCTCCCTCATACGGATTTTGTTGAGTGGGCAGATTTAGTGCTAACATGTCTCCTAATAGCGTGATAGTATGTTGATGTGATGGAACAAATGCATGATTTGAAGAGCTAGGGGTAAGCTGAGATTGTCATTGCTATGCTGTCATTGAAACCAGAATATACCATTTGTTTCGTTTGTTGCGATTAGGGATGGCCTTGTTAGTAGTCATGAATTGTGTACCTACGATTAAATCCTGTGGACTTGATGTGCCATGGAAAACCGCACAAGCAAACTATACAGTGCTGATTGGCTCAGATGATTTTAACGATGGGTTAGTGGGTCCTTGGTAGATAATTCGTATTGAGCACGATATTCCGAGAATATCACGGAAGCATCTCTACTGCATATAGATTGGAGATATGCAAGTACAGATCTTTATGCTGGGGTACCTGCCGTCTCCGGATGATGGCTACAAGTTCGGAGGAGTAGCTTGAACACGACAGAGCTGACACTCCGTAGTTAGTGCAGTGGTCGCATTGGTTGGTAAAATTCGGTAGACTCTCTACCTAGTCTGTAGGTGGTTTAGTGTTAGAGTTAGCGTTCAGTAAAACTTGGCCCTATCATGAAAGTAGAACGAAAACTGAGACGAGCTGTCGAACGGTTTTCTCCAGTGGATTCATTTTGCCACGCTTTGTTTGAGGACTGGAGAATGTGAAGGGCGGAGTAAATGTGGGTATTGGTTTTGAATTCCAATTGTATCCGTACGTGTATGAAAAAATCCACTTCTTGTATTTTACTAATTAATCGAGTATTGAAGCTTTGTTCAACAGGAAATAGAGCGGCTCCCTAGCTTGTCCTCATATTGAGGGTCGTTTGAGCATTGTCTATGGGAATACTCCATAAAGTCAACCATTCCTACTCACTGTCCCGACAACAAAGTAAAGTGTGGTAGCCCAAAAAACGGACTGAACTCTAGCTAAAGAACCAACTGGAGACACACATGGGGTTTTGGGGCGTGATCGTCGCAGTTCCTCTTAGTAGGCAACTACCTACACGTTGTGGCCGTGGCTGTGGCTGAAAGGGAAGATCAACACAATGTAAATCATCCTTCAAATCCACCATAATTTCCGTACTTGAGAAGTTGAGATTGGTAGCGGGTTCTAACAGAGTGAAATATGACAGAGCGACACATATAGACTAGATAAAGAATGAAAGGCTTGAACCCCGTTAAGACCCCGACGAGTGATTGTGGCGCGGTCCAATGAAGATTTTTTATGGTAGTAAAAGGTACCTTAGATACCGTAGGTATTGACTGCCCGGTTTGCTGGTATTAGTACTGGTATCATTCATACTGAGCTACCTTAGCATCTGTACTATTCTTGATATCAACAGCTTCTACGGAGTATTAAGTCTAGCAACATATCCTCGTATAACCACTTCAAATTTTACTAAGGAATGACACTCATCTGTCCTCCCTGCTCACCGAGGTAGCTGATGATTCCTCCGTAATGTCAAGCCCGATGAAGCTCGGCCGGGTTTCACTGGAGATTTCCTAGATCTCTCTGGCTTAGACGCTAAATCCATTCAGATATCCCATTCCCACCCCCCAAGAAGAGGCGCCAACGAGGCCAAAACCAAGCAAGATCCAATCACATCATTTGCTGCCATACCGATAGACCCCTCAGTTGACCAGTTCCTCTCCCTCAACTTCGTGTCCCCTCTCAGGCTCCCATCTGCTCTCGAGGTATTATCTATCTAGGTACGGAGTATTGTTCTCTTTTCACGCGATAGTTTTGACGAGGCTGAGGCTCCTCCTCAATCCTCATTATCATTATTCATACTGGATATCATTATCATTTTTGATATATCTCTTTTTCCGCTGCTTGCCTGTCTCCTCTCTTCAACCTCCATCTGACAACTGAATCGCCTCCCCCTTTGGTTGCTGTATTTTTCCCCCACTACTCTGTACTGGCTCTGTTTTCCACTTTACCAACCTAACTTTTTTTCCCTTGCTCCGCGTCACAAACCCCTGTATTTTTCCCTCTCCGTGTCTGTCTGCGTGATCTCCGAATCCCATCACCCTCCCCTTCCCCTGTCCTGCCCTATCTTGTCCACAAATAATCTCAGGGAATCAATCCCCCAAAGAACTTGGACCGTTCTATCACTTGACTGGGAGGACTCATCTCGTCTCATCTCCAGCTCATCGATTTCTAGATTCACAAGACGAACACTCCATGTCGTCCTAGCAAATTTGCCTGTTTCTTCGTGTCAGTAACACGGCTTTCCGTCTGGTAGGTTCACCGTTTACTGAGTCTTGATGTGTCCAAGTCGTCCGGATCGACGTTCGTTGGCCTTTTCCTATTATGATTGTCGCTTATGATTGCCGCTTCATCTCTTCCCTTCTCTCAACCGTCACATCTTCCCTTCGAGGAGGCGACGGCGCTTCCAGATCCGCTTTTCTCCTTGCCCTTATTCGCTTCTCCTTCTCTTCCCTCAACTCCAGTGTGTAGCAAGCCCGTCTAGCTCTGCTTGCTATCTCAGTTTGACATATTACTCGAGCCCTTTTTTTTATTTTTTTCCCTTTTCATTCATCCTCTGCTTCCTTTGCTTCCATGCGCTCGCGACTCTAACTCTCTTCCTTTGACGCCTTAGTCCTTTTTATCTCCCTTTTTCGACACACTTTTCCCTCTTTCGAAAATTGTCCTTCTCACCTTGGTCACTCGACTTGCCTTTCAGACCATTCACAATACGACATTCTGCCAATCTGGCTATCCTTATGTCCCAACATTGACAAGAGCTACAACAGGCACAATGGCTGGCGCAGACGAGACGCTTGCAGCCGCCTCTGCCATCCTTCAGAGCCTGGCCAGAGGCCCCGATGCTTCGATTTCCGAACCGAATTCTTCCCACACAACTACCAATGGCTGTGGTACAAAGTTCGCCAAATTACCAGGAGAGCCTAGCCAAGCAAAGGCGGCATTTGAATTTGAGTTGGAGGCTTTGAGTCGACGTGTTCGCCATCTGGAGTTTCAAGTTGTCAGTCATCAACCATACCCCCGACCTGTCCCCGAGTTACCTTTGTCTTCCACCAAGAATTCTGATTTTCTGTGGCTTTTCGGGCTCTCTCGCCTGTCCTCTCATGAAGGAGCTGCTTCTAACTCTTCTTGCGGCATGCAGCAGGAAACTTCACGACGTCGCCAGAGAACAAGAAGAAACCGCCGTGAAGCGGAAGACAATGAAGCCGATGAGGCACTCGACGACGACGACAGTGATGGAGATGACGATGTAGACTCGCGAACTCGACTCGTTCGCGAGGAAGACATCAGTTATCTGCGGAATCATGTACAGAAACAGGCGGAGGAAATAAGCTTTCAAAAAGACATCATCGCTCAAGTTCGCGACGAGCTACTACAGCAGGAGGAGCACACGCGACGGGCGTTGACCAAGGTTGAGAATGAAGATGTGGTCCTGTTAGAACGCGAGCTACGCAAGCACCAGCAAGCCAACGAGGCTTTCCAGAAAGCCCTTCGGGAAATTGGTGGCATCATCACGCAGGTCGCGAATGGTGACTTGTCCATGAAGGTGCAGATTCATCCCCTTGAAATGGACCCTGAGATTGCCACTTTCAAGCGCACGATCAACACGATGATGGACCAGCTGCAGGTTTTTGGTAGTGAGGTGTCCAGGGTCGCCCGAGAGGTCGGGACGGAAGGTATCCTTGGTGGACAGGCTCAGATCACTGGGGTTCACGGTATTTGGAAGGAGCTTACGGAGAACGTCAACATCATGGCCAAGAATCTCACTGACCAGGTGCGTGAAATTGCGGCGGTGACGACTGCCGTCGCCCATGGCGATCTCAGTCAGAAGATCGAAAGTCGTGCTCAGGGTGAAATTCTGGAACTGCAACAGACCATCAACACCATGGTTGATCAACTGCGCACGTTCGCAACGGAGGTCACTCGTGTCGCTCGTGATGTCGGTACGGAAGGTGTCCTAGGTGGACAGGCCCAGATCGAAGGCGTCCAAGGCATGTGGAATGAGCTGACTGTCAACGTCAACGCCATGGCAAACAATTTGACTACACAAGTGCGAGACATTGCGACTGTCACCAAGGCTGTGGCCAAGGGTGATCTGACACAGAAGGTTCAAGCCAACTGCAAAGGAGAAATTGCCGAGCTCAAGAACATTATCAACTCCATGGTGGACCAACTGCGGCAGTTCGCCCAGGAGGTCACCAAGATTGCCAAGGAAGTCGGTACGGATGGTGTTCTAGGAGGCCAAGCCACTGTCAATGATGTGGAAGGCACTTGGAAAGACTTGACTGAGAATGTCAACCGAATGGCAAACAACCTGACCACCCAAGTCAGGGAGATCGCCGATGTCACGACTGCCGTCGCTAAAGGGGATCTGACCAAGAAGGTCACGGCCAACGTTCAAGGTGAAATACTAGATCTTAAGAGCACCATCAATGGCATGGTCGATCGACTGAATACTTTTGCCTTCGAGGTGAGCAAAGTTGCCAGGGAAGTCGGCACAGATGGTACCCTCGGCGGCCAAGCCAAGGTCGACAATGTGGAAGGCAAATGGAAGGATCTCACAGACAATGTCAACACCATGGCCCAGAATTTGACGTCCCAGGTCCGAAGTATTTCAGACGTCACGCAGGCTATCGCGAAGGGTGACCTCAGCAAGAAGATCGAAGTTCATGCTCAAGGAGAGATCTTGACTCTCAAGGTCACGATCAATCACATGGTGGATCGTCTTGCGAAATTCGCAACTGAACTCAAAAAGGTCGCTCGCGATGTCGGCGTGGACGGGAAAATGGGCGGTCAAGCCAACGTGGAGGGGATTGCTGGAACATGGAAGGAGATCACCGAGGATGTCAATACAATGGCTGAGAACCTGACTTCGCAGGTGCGTGCGTTTGGTGAGATCACCGATGCTGCAACCGACGGTGATTTCACTAAGCTCATCACTGTCAACGCTTCCGGGGAGATGGATGAACTCAAGCGCAAGATCAACAAGATGGTCTCCAATCTCCGGGACAGTATTCAGCGTAACACTGCTGCCAGGGAGGCAGCTGAGCT